CGCCCACTGATTCAGATCGAGCAACCAAGCGATAAACATGCTGTTAAAGATTGCAAAATATTGTGCAGTGCCTGGTTGTGGAAGAACACAGTCACTGCATAACCTTCCTTCAAATATTAGGAATGTGTGGTTGAAATACAGAGTTCTGGCATGAAACTCTAGATGGCGCAGTCCGATAGGTCTAACTCAATCTGGCCTAATGACATCATCACATGGCACAGCTGACTGGTTCTCTTCTGTATCGGTAGCCAATGAGCTCGCTGCTCAACTTTCAAATGCGATTAGTGCTGGCAGTAGCAATTGCAGCTTGCTTCAGAAACCCTCCTCCTTCCCCAGCTCCACCTGTATAGATCTGCTACGAGGTGATTCATGTACGATATATGGGGGTTATTCATATGTGTTATATGTGCAGCAGCAATATTTCTTACATGCTCACAGCAGCATGTTGTGGATGTATATAAATAAAATTGCATGACAAAGAAATAAGAATAATAATTAATCATCATCATCTCATATTCACACTTTTAAAAAATCCCTGATTTTCTAAGATGATTTTTGTTTGTTTTCTAAGATGATTTTTTTGTTTGATTGTTGTTTTTTTACCCGATTAACTCTACTTGGCATACGTAGGAAAATAAATAATTTATAGATTTATAGATTTTATACTTTTCCTTGGCTTTTCTAAACCTAAAAAAAAAAAACAGATGGCTGAATTATGGCAGGCTGCTAAGTTAATTCTGAAGTGAAAGTATGGTTTGCTGTTCACTCTTAACATAAATGTCATGCCGTCAGCATCAGTTTCACAAATTCATTAATCTCTTTAGCTTTGATGCAACTTTGAACAAAGAGGACTCAGAGGAGAGCATCAATCTTATTACACACCTAATATCGAAATAGCAATGTCACCACAACATGCACAAATACAGCTGAGCAGGATGTTTACCATCATCCCAGGAGCATTAAACTAGCACCGATTTGCTTGTGTTAGTAAACATTGCTTAAACTATCATAAGGCTGTCGCTGAGGTCATTAGATTACTAAACCAAATATGGTGAAGAAACTCTTTAAACATAATATTTACATTAAACCGGCAGTGCTGGCAAATGAATGTCATTAATTCATCATAACAAGAACAGCTGCAACAGTCTGATTCCTTTACATTACTAGAAATAACACAGGGCTGCAAATCTGTAAATGAATGATCAAATTTAACATGTCAACTTTAATTTGACCTCTTTAATGGGTCATTAGATTGAAACTTTGGCAAATAAAATTTTATTTAAAAAAACAGGCACTGAATTTGTCATTTCAATTATTTTGCACATCGTAATGTTGTGTTTCTATGTTTATTATTGTACCTTGCTACTAACTTGTAAATATGCAAATACTCAAGTACTGATATGCAAATTCTCTTCTGCTAACCCACACATAACTGCCAGACTCCCATCAATCCCACAAACTCACAGGACATTTCGTCTCCTTGGAATTATAAGGTTCTAGCTGCCATTTTTATCAACATTGAGTTATTCACATATTCTTATTCTGTGACAACTTATTTACATTATGTGAAGTTTTTTTTTTTTTTTAAGTTGTGTACATTTTGGGACTGATGTATGAAAGAGATGTTCCCCATATCCCATTTCACTATATGGAGTGCAAACACTTTGATGCTCAATATCTCAAAACTGCTCAGAATGCGGACAGAACCTTATAATTCCAAGGTGACGATTTATTAGGAACTGCCCCCTTTCATACAGGGTTTAAACTACCCTGTTTTTTTTTTTTTTTGAGTTTGAGCTCCGTCAAGTTAATCCTTTGTCGTCAAATTTTTTATCTTAAAATCAATTTTATACACCATCATTTTCGTTTCTATAACGTGTGAATATATCCCCTATCGTATTCTACAACAAACACATAGTAAGAAATGGTTATAAAAACTGAAACAGAAGTGAAACAAGTAATAGGAATTTTATTATGTAATATTTTGGTATATTATTTTAGATCATTTTGGTCCCACAACCTCTTTTTCAGCTGTAGAAAAACAGCTAAGAAAAGCTGAAACTAGCACATAAGTGAAATAATATGAAATTATAAGCCTAATAAATGCACATTTATATGCAACATAAGTATCAAGTATCCAGACACTATTGTATGAATGTGTTATGTGCCAAAATGCACATAAAAATGTTACTGCATACTTAGAAGTACAGTATATACGTACTTTCCTAGCCACCAGAACACAATTCTAGTGTGTACTGCAAGTATATGAATCGGGACGCAGCCAGGATCTAATACTTCACTTCAGAAGTGACATATACAGTCAGGAGGTAAACATTCCATGCAACTCTTCACATAAACCACTCTCATTCCACATAATATATCACATGTTAGATGTTTCAGTTATCTGCTGTTAATCCAGATGTGTGCAAACGTTCCATACGTACGGTATGATAACACTTCTACATCTGCAGTTCATCAGTCTTAAAAGAATTCGTGCAGAGGCTTTATGTCATGAGCTGGTGAGAGAGACCTGGTTAGAGAGACAACCATGAAGATTTGCTGAAAAATGCCAAATACTAAAACTGGAATCCAATCTGATCAGCAGTTTTTTTTTTATTATTGGTTAGTCGGATTAATCAAAAATAAATCATAATTGAAGGGCTTATTTAATCCAATCAATGTGAAGTGGACATGAAGTATTTGAAATACACATGGGGTTAAACGGAAAACGTTTTCAGGACTTTTTATGTTTGCAACTAAAATAGGCTAATTAATCTTTTTCGTTCATGACAAAATTTAAGAGTCTAGATTAGAGATTAACATTTATTAAATATTGAATTCAATATTAAGATAACTATAACACTTAGATTTGGGTAGGCTTAATAGGATCACTTAACAAAACATTTAAAGAATTTTAATAAGTAAATAAATAGGACGTGATCACAAATGTATAAGTAATCCTAATAAATAAAGTAATAAATGGGAAGTGATTGAAATGTATTCCTTATACCTATAATTTCTTTTTAATGCCTAATCATATATATATATATATATATATATATGATTAGGCATTAAAAAGAAAACTTAGATTGGGTGGTCTAAATAGGATCACTTACCATATGTTATAAATATGTAAATATGTAATGGAGTGATTGCAATTGTATGGGAAGTAATCCTATCAAATAAATACGTAAATTCATACATAAATGGCGACTGATCCCAAATTTATGGTTCGTGATCATATTAAAGGATTAGTTCACTTCCAGAATGAAAATCATTCACTCCCCCTCCACGTGTTCCAAACCTGTATGAGTTTCTTTCATCTTCTGAACACAAAAGAAGATATTGGTTGGTAACCAAACAGCTGACAGTAGCCATTGACTTCCGTAGTGATTTTACATACTGTAGAAGTCAATAGCTACCATCAACTGTTATAGAGACTCAATTATAAAGAGTCATATCCCTAATTCGTTTTAAATTTAAACAATTGTAAGCATTTTTTACCAAAACAAGGTGATTTTCAGAATATTTCAGATCTTACATTTCTAAAAGCTAAATTCAAGAATTTTAAGGACCTTGTGTGAACCCTGTATTTAGCACAAACTTTTATTATTATTTATTTTAATATTTTTTAAATAATAAAATTATATTTAAACAAAATTACTTCACTTCTTACTAATATTTGAAAAACTTTTGTCTGCCAAAGTCATGTGGTGCAACCAACAAAATGAAGTCATAGAATGGACCCTATGACTGTGTGTCAAAGTTGATCAGTCTCTTCAAATATCAGATAATTTGACATTTTTATGACGAGGCAAGACCTGTATGAGTTTCTTTCTTCTGTTGAACACAAAAGAAGATATTTTGAAAAATGTTAGTATCCGAACAGTTAATGGGCACCATTGACCCTTCTATAGTGGGAAAAAAAAAAATTCTATGGAAGTCAACGGTGCCCATTAACTGTTCGGATACCAACATTTTTCAAAATATCTTCTTTTGTGTTCAACAGAAGAAAGAAACTCATACAGGTTTGGAACACGTGGAGGGTGAGTGAATGATTTTCATTCTGGAAGTGAACTAATCCTTTAATATGATCACGAACCATAAATTTGGGATCAGTCGCCATTTATGTATGAATTTACGTATTTATTTGATAGGATTACTTCCCATACAATTGCAATCACTCCATTACATATTTACATATTTATAACATATGGTAAGTGATCCTATTTAGACCACCCAATCTAAGTTTTCTTTTTAATGCCTAATCATATATATATATATATATATATATATGATTAGGCATTAAAAAGAAAACTTAGATTGGGTGGTCTAAATAGGATCACTTACCATATGTTATAAATATGTAAATATGTAATGGAGTGATTGCAATTGTATGGGAAGTAATCCTATCAAATAAATACGTAAATTCATACATAAATGGCGACTGATCCCAAATTTATGGTTCGTGATCATATTAAAGGATTAGTTCACTTCCAGAATGAAAATCATTCACTCACCCTCCACGTGTTCCAAACCTGTATGAGTTTCTTTCTTCTGTTGAACACAAAAGAAGATATTTTGAAAAATGTTAGTATCCGAACAGTTAATGGGCACCATTGACCCTTCTATAGTGGGAAAAAAAAAAATTCTATGGAAGTCAACGGTGCCCATTAACTGTTCGGATACCAACATTTTTCAAAATATCTTCTTTTGTGTTCAACAGAAGAAAGAAACTCATACAGGTTTGGAACACGTGGAGGGTGAGTAAATGATGACAGAATTTTCTTTCTGGAAATGAACTAATCCTTTAAATAAACAAATAAATATATATCCTGGAAATCAACAGTCATGCTGTCCTAGTTCTTTGTGAAACATGATTTGCATGGCTCATTATTCCGTGAATGCAACGCCTACTCACATTACACGGTACAAAAACACTGGAAGTACCTGAGAGTAGCATTCATCTCCTTTCGAAAAATGATACCTTAGCGTCTGCCATGGACCCGAACACTTCTGTAAACTGTACTATCTCTCCGCATGGACACGCGGTGGAGCAGTACATGTACCCGGCAGCTTACTCGCTGTTCTTCATCATTGGATTTCCAGCAAACTGTCTGTCCCTGTACGTGGCCTGGGTTCTGATGAAGAAGGACAATAATTTGGCGGTTTATCTGATTAATTTGTCAGTCGGAGATCTGCTGTATATCCTCACTCTACCCGTTTGGATCATGATGGCACTCGGCAATGCGGTGAACGATGGTCTTTGCAGCGTTATAGCGGTGGTCATGTTCAACAGCTTCTACTGTATGTGGGTTCAGGGTTCCTGTGCTGCATCTCTATGGACCGATATTTAGCCATCGTGTTTCCGCTGCATTTCACACGTGTGCGAGAGGTCAGAACTGCAGTACTGGTGAGCGTCATCGTATGGCTGGTGGAGATCGTGCTTCATTTGGGCCTTCTAATCTACACGGAGGCGATCGGGAACTTTTCTGCCAGTCGTATGTGCGAGGAGCCGATGATAATGAGCGCCGCCGCCGCCAACGTGGCCATCACACGCGCGGTCCTGGGATTTCTCATTCCTGTGCTCATTATGAGCTTCTGCTTCGAGGAGATCATCAGGGCGCTGAAGAAAAGCACATCCACTGTGGTCAGCGAACGGAGGAAGATTTGCCGCCTTCTCTTCTCTCTCCTTTTCACCTACTTGTTGGCTTTTACGCCCTTCCAGGTGGTGATGTTCATCAGAGGACTGCTGGAGCCTGGAAACTGCAGCATCGCGAAGAATCTCAGAGACGTTTACATGGTGTTTGTGGCTACGACTACTATAAACAGTGTTTTAGACCCCATCCTTTATTGTCTCATAAGTGACAGTGCCAAAATTGAAATTAAAATACTTTTTAAGCTCTGTGAGGAGCAATTCAGTAAGATGTATTCATCTGTGATGAAACCCTGAGACTCCAAATATACTGTATATTAATGTCTTGACAGACTCTTAAGATCTTAAGCCTGTAAAGTCTGACATATGAAATTATAGTCAGAAAAATAAAATTTTTTGAAATGGAACAGTTTATTGAACCTTCAGACAAAAAAAAGTTTGCTTACATGTTTTTGTTGAGTATCATATTTGATACATCAGGCTTGTATGACTCATATAGTGTGATATAGTGAGAATATGGAAAGGAAAACAGCTCAATTTCATTTAGACAACTGAGTAAAAATACGCCATTTGGCGCAGATGCCGATATTTATATAGACAAAAAGATGAAATTCTGTTGCTTGTAATGTAAATCAGTGAGATCTTTATAACAGTAGAGCAGATACTGACATAAAATGATATAAATCTCAGTCGTCACTCTATATCTCCAATAATCTGTCTCAGTAAGATGAGATTGAAATGATCCAAACATATAATGCAGTGATTGAGAGCTGAAGAAATAACCGTGAGATGTTCTGGAGGCTTGTGAAGATCATTCCTCCGCTGAGGAACAGTGAAAGTAAAGCTTCTGGAAACAAACGCTCCTCAAAAGATCCTGAGGATCAGATTTGAGACTCTAAAGCATGATTGATGGAGAATCAAGTAAAACCGAGCTGCCTCAGTGCAGTAAATGTTCATCTGGAAATATGACTACAGTTATTCTGATGTTTACTTGATACAAATCAGTCAAGATTTGACAGTAGAAAAACATGTGAAGCTCCAGCTGAAGGATTTTTACTTGATTAAAAAGTCAATCAGACAACAGAAGGCATAGAGTAGATGGTATGAAACAGGTTTTTCAGCTAAATTTTGATCATGTTGATCATTTAGAGGCCTTGCCAATTTTTGTATCAAATATGATACAGTGGCTTTATAGGGTTAAAAACCTAAAGGTTTCTGTTTAAATAGTTTGTATACGAATATAAATTGTGAATACGTGTGAAATTATTGTTTTGATGACTTCATTGATATTTTGAGTTGTGGAAAAGAGTTATATACAAATGAGCAGGCGAAACTTGTGCATTTCCGTGCATTTGTTTGGTGTGTGTATTTGTTTCCAGAAAAGAAACGAGAGTTGTGAAACATATCTTATCTGCTGCAACAAAGATGCAAACCTGTTATCGAAACTTCATCTGTGGTTTCTGAGAGATGTTTGACTTCACCTGTTCATCTGGCAGAAATGCAAAATAAACCACTGCTATAAAAACACTTGATGTAAGAAACTAAAGGAATGACTCACCTAAAAGGAAACCTCTGTCGTTATTTACTCACTCACTCACTCACTCACTCACTCAAGTTGCTTAAACCTGTATGAATTTCTTTCTTTCTACTAAAACAAAGAACACAAGCAATGGGAAATTTAGCAGAATGATCATACAGCTCTTTTGACAATGAGTTTGCTCTACTTAAAGGGGTCATAGGATGCTACATGCACTTTTACAAGTTGTTTGAACTGAAATGTGTGTTGGCAGTGTGTGTACACAACCACCCTATAATGATGATGATCCACCCAGTGTTTTTTTTTTATCTCGTTAAATGTTTTCCCCTACATAGCAGTCGTCCTTTACTCCCGACATCTGAGCCGCTGAACTCGCAGTGGATTACATTGTTTCTGAAGGGAATGCGCCCCCGATCTACCTAAATGTGTCTATGTTCGCGCGAATCATTCGTGACCCAGCCTCATCTACAGAAGAAGTGAGTATAATATTTTGTAATGAATCTTTGCAAATCGCCTTTCCTAATAATATGCTAATTAGCAAGTTTCACGATGAATGCAGCTAAAGTAAACAGTCCCTCAGAGAGCAGCTCGGAAGAGAGGAGCGGGGTCAGCAGAGCTCATTAACATTTAAAGAAAAATGCTACAAAAACGGCTTGATCTGAAAAGAGCTGTTTTTTGACGGGGTAAAAAAGTGTTTTATACACGACCATTGAGAAATTTTAACCAAACTATGTTACAGACTTTTCATTAAGCCCCTACAGAATCATATCAACTTGTGGCAAATGGGCATCCTATGACCCCTTTAAAGGGCCTTCTATGATTTCTATTTCACTATATGACACCAAATTGATTTAAGTTAAAATACTTTAGCTTACACTCCTATAATCCTGGGTTATTTTTTAACCCAAATGGTGGGTTGAGCCTTTTGGGTCATTTTTTTGGGGTTATTTTTTCAGTGTTTGGGTAGTTTTTGTGTTTCTCAGATCCTGGGTCATACGTAGCCCAGAGGTTGAGTTATTTATCGCTGTGAGTTTGCGTCCTCTTCGGGAGAGAGCAGTTCTAAGCTCCATTGAAGTGATGCATTTCTTCTGTAAAATACAGGTTTGTGTACATTTTATTTTATCTATAAAATCGTTACTGTGCTTGCAGAGCACTGTGAGTCACCTAAACGAATGTCGCGACGGTCTTTTCGCCTGATGGAAAAGCCTGATGCTTTGCATAAAATAACCGATTTTATTCATAAAGATACAGAATATAAATACTTTGGATGTTAAAATATGTCCTCAGAGCTGTTTACTGTTTGTTTATGGGCAGGTTATGGAGGCAGTCGCAGCTTGTTTCGGCAAAGCGCCGTTACGGTTGAAACAGAATAACAGAGACTGGCCGATTACACGTGAATTACTTCTGCTTAATGATGAATTCTTTCTTATAATGTTTGTTAAACGAGTTTAAATATAGGCAATATGTATAGCCTACGCATTAAAAACAATATAAACAATGCTGTAAATGATGTAAATAGAGGAAAATAAAGGAAGTTATCATGCAAACCAGTGGTTGTGTGGAGTATTTTACAAAAGTTATCTGTAAGTTAATCTGTAAACATTATTTGAAGTAAAAAAAAGTTAGTCTTATAGTAAAAATTAATCAACCCAGTTTGCTGGGTAAAATTAACCCAACATGTGTTCTGTCCTATATTTATCCAGCCCAAATTAGGTTGTTTTTTAGAGTGTAAAGTCCAACATTTTACTTCCTTTATGAAAAAGCCCATATGTAGTAAACAAACTGGTAAGCAGAAGAAACATAAAAATAAGTTTGAGCAATCATAGTGTCACTTCTCGAGTGTTTGGTGGTTTCTGCACACTGTGGTTAAACAAGGAAGTGATATTTTTCGTATTTCCTCCCCTGTGGAGGAGATCGTTGTAATGTGCAGTTCTTTCATGTATATCTTTGTAAATCTTATCATATTTTCATAATTTTGTCCAAAAACAAGATTCCTGAATCGCTGCACTTATGGTGAGTTTAGATTTGATCCTCTTCTGGTAAAATTCAGCACATGTTTGGTTGGTTGATTTATTTCAACATTCTAGTGAAGCTACAATGTTATTCTAGTAATATTAGGGCTGTTTTGTGATAGATATTGTGGGACAGTAAATAAATCCACTTAAAGGGAAAGTTCACTCATTGTGTCATTATTTACTCACCCTCATGTCGCTCGACTCATGTGACTTTATTTCTTTTGTATAAGCAGATCTTAGTCAGAATATTGACGCCACTCTTCCGTACAGCAAAAGCAACCAGTGACTGTTAAGCTTAAGCTTTGTAAAAAAGTCCATATATTACAATCTTACAAGTCTGTATTACAAGGAGGGTACATTACAAGTCTTCTAAACAAATATGATAGTTTTGTGTGAGGAAGAGATGAAAATATAGCTCTCAAATGGCTTAAAAAATGAAATGTGATACTTTGCATTACAGAAATAAATTAAGTTTTATAAAAGAGACTGACCAATATGGGTTTTTGAGGGCCGATGTCGATATTAGGAAGTAAAAAAGGCCGATATCGATATATCAGATGATAATCTTTATGTGCATATTATAGTACAGTACCAGTCAAAAGTTTGGACACTTTCCCATTCGTGTGTCCAAACTTTTGACTGGTTCTATATATAGAATACAATATATACATAAACAGAATATATATAAACACTTTTTTTTTTGTAATAATCAATCAAATGTGGTGATCAAACATTTACAATGACGTGACAAATATATGTAATGGAGGCAGGGTATTTAACAATTTAACAATAAACTTTATTATCCAAAATGAGTCTGACATCAGTGCACTGAACAGTCAAGTTGAAGTTTATTCAACTTTATTTCAATTGAATTCCATTCAACTTTATTCAGTTGAAGTTTATTTCACTTCGGAATTTCGGATTTTCACTACGCAAATAGTGTTTCTTCACACACAGACGAAACTTACTAGTGAAGTGTAACATAATATACCTCTGTAAATAAATACTATTTAAATTCACGTCTCAGGGTATTTAACAATTTAACAATAAACTTTATTATCCAAAATGAGTCTGACATCAGTGCACTGAACAGTCAAGTTGAAGTTTATTCAACTTTATTTCAATTGAATTCCATTCAACTTTATTCAGTTGAAGTTTATTTCACTTCGGAATTTCGGATTTTCACTACGCAAATAGTGTTTCTTCACACACAGACGAAACTTACTAGAGAAGTGTGACATTATATACCTCTGTAAATTAATACTATTTAAATTCACGCCTTGCGCACTTTAATGCCCTTTGAATGTAACATGTACGTTCCCTTCGAACTGGAATCATGGCAGAATATCCTGTGAAGTCCACTTCGCAGGGCACTTACGGCTGAATAGAGCAAACCTCTGAAGTGATAAGAGAAACATACAAAATGTGCATAGCGGGGGGTCGCAAGGAACAGGATTAAGAACCGCTGCTTAATAGCATTGCGTCTCTCCAACTAGGTGACAGCGTAGCGCTAAATCAACATTCAACAAACTCAAGCCACCTGTATTTGGTGCGTATCCACCCCGCCGTTACAGAGATATGGCCGTTCAAAGTTTCAATGGTATTCCATACGCTTTAAAGCATTTCATCCAGGTCGCTAGTAGCAAAAAATGGAGCGCGCTCAGTTGGACAAACTACGTAATTACACCATTTTCAAGCATTTTATCTGCGTTTTATGTTCTGTAAAAACAAATGTCCTATCAGTG